ATAATGCCAAAGGTTGCCAGGTTTGGTTAACCCACTGTTGTGAAACACCTCCGATTTCTGAGTCCGATGCGTCAACTGCGATACTAATGTGCACATGGGTGTACTGGTGTGCAGGCACAGTTGCTTTAGCGATAATTTTTAAATTGTGGAGAATTCTTTTATTGCGGCATCGTCCAGATTGATGGATTTCTCACTTCCACGAAGTCGGTCGGTTAGAGGTTTTATAAGAGATGAGCAGTTCGGTATGTAGAATCTTACAGAGCTGTTAAACGTGTGTAATTAATTGATTGTGGTAGGTTCTGGGTAATCCAGAATGGCTGGCGCTTTTGTTCTCAGAAGTTGGATGCCTTGAGCATCAACAGTGTGTTCGAGAAACCCCTTTCAGAAATGCCACCGAAAACTGATATGGAACGGGTGAATTCGTCCTGCACCATCATCAAAACCTCAGATATTCCAGAGGGATATAAGATTGCAGTTTCTAGGAGCCTCCAACTTCACATGGATCTATTCTCGACCATTAGTTGCAAGTCGCAACGCAACCTTCATAAAGCGCGCAAACGGTGATACTGACAGTACAATCCTTACTAAAACTATCAACTCAGCTGATTAATTTACTACAGTGAAAATTGTATCTTTGGTAACAATATGATCTTGTCTATAAACTGGCATGCCTCATGTAACAAACTGTTATATAAGAATAGATCATTATTTTTGTTATTAAATGATATTTCACTTATCTCAAGAATTTTCAACTGTCTCTTCATTTCCGCAGGTATTTGACTTGTCCTTCCGGTATTCAACATTGTCTGGAAATTCCGTATCTCTATTTTAATCATTGCTCCGGTTGTTAGAAAAGGCATCGGCCTCGTGATTCCCTAAGAACCCCAGCTTTCACCATGAAGCGTCATAGTTTTTCAGAGCGAAGGTTGCTCAATTCCGAGGACAGAGTTTAAATGGAACGAATGATTTTTGGTGGGTTTAGTTCTTATAGTGTGGCTGTTTCCTACGTGTTGGGTTGCCAACCCAATGCTCAGTCCTTTTCCTTCATTCGGACTTGGGGCTGGCAGTAATCCTATAATGGCTACAAGAGCTATTAACCGATTGGTACATGAGTTAAAAAAATAAAACTTACTTTGCTATGCAGAAATTACCTACGTTGATGCCGGAGTATTACAGAAGGGATAGGTGGTATACTTCCTTAATGGGTCATATTGAGCATAATCAAATCATCACAAATGTCCAACAATCAATTTTGCCTTAGCTTACCATTATATTTTTTCAGTTTTTCACGTAAAGACTAGTTCAGTTTATGTCATCCGTTTTTATCAATTTTTGCCCGATTTTAGTGTGCTTTTTAGTGTAGTTTTTAACGGTCTTAGGCCTTTGCTAGCATCTTTAATGCAGTTTACGTCAATACAGTCATGAAAAATTCATGCAAACGACCTGGATGCCGCTTTGCTGCTACATCGGGTATGCAGTGTGATAACTGTAAAGATTGGTTCCATGAAGCGTGCACAGATCTCACAGCAACTGCTTACAACAAACTCAGCATGTCGGATGATAAGTGGGTATGTGTTATGTGCAACACGGATGCCGTAGTTTTGCTGAGTAACATCATTGTCCTATTGACAGGCCTGCGGAATAAGTTATCAGCAAACTTGGAAAAAGACAGTCATAAAGCAGGTAGAAAAACAAGGGCGCGCAACAAAAACATGAATAGGGATGTCTACAGGTTTACCATCGATGGAGCATGAATTAGCACTAATGATGAAATGTTGAAACTCAGCACCATCATTACGTCGACGGTAATATGCTCCCTCAGCAAACTCATGTCTCCTAGTTCATGATTCTTGAATGCAACAGTGGTTCGCAAAAACTCTGTCGATGGTTGGACCCACGTTGACAGAGCTAAAAAGGACCAGGCGTCACCGTCTAAGCTGAACATCCCAAATATTGTACGGTCATCATCTGGTGATTTGATCGCACAGTCTGTTACGTCCAAGTTTTGCTCGTTCCAGTTATTGAAGTACGGACTTTCGATGTACTTGCAAATTACGAACCCCAATTAACAACAGAACCAAACTCGAATTTGGATACCAAATTTATTCGCAATTCACAAATAGTCGATCAAATGTCGTTCTAACAACAATAATTATAACATTTACAAAACAAACCTTCAATTTTGTAGGTTCCCGGAGCTAAAACTCCCAAATAACAAACCAAAGACAAAGAGAGCACCAAAATGTCCGAAATGATGATATAAACAAACGAGTTTAAAAGTTAAGTACAACAAATGCATCCAAAAACTGCAAAATTATTGATGTACAGTAAAAAGGTTTTAATCATCCAAATGCCAAAAGCTTGCAGGACAAAAATGACAGGATGCTCTGGGGAGAATTGAACAAGAAACTTGAACTTCCTAGAATAGAGCCTTTGACGGTCACACGGCTCACTCTAGGAAAGAAATCTAAGCATCACAATCACCCGAGTCTTCTTCGTGTAACACTTAAGAATGCTACCGATGTAGATGATGCCCTACTAGCTGGTCATTTACTGAAATCAGATTGGAACGTATTTACACTGTCCAACGTACTGTATTCTGAGCTCAATCTCATCCGGAACATCCCTAGAGAATGTCACGAGAAGTTTTTCCGTGGAAGAAATATAATTGTGTATGGTGTACCAGAAAACATGGACACTAGTCAAGCAAACTCTGATTTTTGAGACTGAAAACTCATCAAACAGTCCATGAGGTTCAAAAACATGCTGACTCAACATGTGACGAGACTAGCCAAGAAGAACGGTGATTCTAGACCCCAGCTAATGAGGACAACTTTCCCATCCTCCCATATGGCGGCTGCAACTCAGGAAGCATTTCGTACCATCAGACGTCGGTTGACAACTGGAATGCATGTGCACCCGGATAGGCTACATGGCGGCAAGTTGGAGCTGACCATTCTACCTGTGGACTGTCTTGATCATGAAAAAACGTGTAAAGGACAGGGCCTACTAAGTCGCAAACCTTTCATAGGTAGACTACCTGTCCATTGACGTAAGGCCCATACAGACAAACAGACAGAAGCTCACGCGCTTCAAAATGAAAGCATAAACTGCTTATACATGAACGCCGCGAATTTACCAAACAAAATGGATGAGCTATGTGAACTTAGCAATGCTAATAAGGCTCATTTGATAGGAATATCTGGAACTTGGATATCTCAGTTTACGAACCAAGAGCTAGCGATACCTGGGATGTCTTTGTTTCGCAACGACAGAAAAACAGGAATTGGGGGTAGAGTAGCCGTATCCATACGATCTTGCCTGGCGGTACACAAAGTTCACAACCATGAGTTTAAAAATCTTGATGAATCTGTATGGTGCTCTGTAATATTGTCTACTGCTTCGAAGTGCTTAGTCGAGGTCATCTATAAGAAGCCCGCTGTTGACTGTAGATCACCAATGCAGATGATCTATGTCGAAATGATTGAAGGCCTACTGGAGTTAGACGTGAACGGTGTGACAAACTAGCTAACGTCCAATTCACACCTCGCGGTCATCACCTTACGTGAACTACCCCATTGACGTATCAAGGCACCATAGATGCTTTAAAGACTGTACAACACGAAGGACGTTATTACAGAAATAAATTAGTTAACGTAGATACAAGCGAAAGTAAGACCACTGCCGCATTGGCCAGTCCATGGAATACGATTAACTGATGCGCGTTGGTTGTCCCTGACCTTGACGAGAATCGATGAGTTGTTCGATATTCAATGACTCGAATGCCGGATGATATGGCTAGGGTTTAATGACATTTCGCGGGCCCTACAGGAAGCCCACTGCTGAAATAGAGTGTGCTGGAATAGCTTTTCCACTCTACGCGTCTTTGATTCTCTCATATCCGAATTCTAGGGGACTTCAAGCTCCCTAGATTCAATTTCGCGGAACATACGTTTATTGAAGGTGAAAACTCAACTGAAGCTCTGTTCTTTAACCTCATTCAGGATCTGACACTATTCAAAAATGTGAAGCTGACAACTCGTTGGAAAACCGTTCAAACACCATCGCGCCTAGACTGGGTATTTACAAGCGAAGAATTCCTAGTTGACAACCTCTCAATCGTGGTTCACCTGGGTGAAAGCGATCACGCCGTCACAGCCTCTAGCTTTATGAGTAACGACGGTGACGCAGCTAACCTTCTGAATGAACAACACTCTCGGACATTTCAACCAACCCACATCAACTTTACTGATGACAGCTTCGTCTGCAGTTGCACAGGACTTTCCGAAGTGGACCTGAGCGCTGACGTGGTGTACCGGAAACTGCAGCACCCAAAAAGGACAATTCTCTTGGTCCGGATATGGCTCGTTCTGCTATAGTGAAAGAAGCAGCTTCAATCCTGGCAATACTGTCTAGCGTGATGTTCTCACACTCGCTAAGCCGAGACAAAAGGATAATGACCCTCTGGAACGCATCCAACGACGAGCCACGAGCTCACTTTGAGGACTCAAATTCAAACCTTATGAGAGGCGCCTCCAATCACTTAACCTTTGTCCATTAGAGTATAGGCGTCTCAGAGGTGACCTCCTGATGGTTTACAGTATCCTCAACACTTCTGGACATCTCTTTAAACTCTAACTTCAGTTTAGCTCCAACACAGAACTAAAGAGTAACACCCAGAAATTGGAGATACAACATAGCAGAACAGACTCTAAACACAACTTCTACTTCCTAAGAGTCGTTAAATGCTAGAAGTTGCTGTCGACCAGACTAATCCAAGCGATTTCCCAAGAGTCCTTTAAGAGGAAACTTGACCTATTCTTAAGGACTAAGGATAACATCTTATTATGATTTACCAAATTCTTTTCTTTCCTCTATTATCGTTAATATACCTATGTTCCTGTCTGGAGGTATTGGTGATCCACTGCTACTAGATTGAGAAGCCTGTTATTCGAAGACTTCTATTCCGTCTACGTCCATATGTACCGTTTGTTTTGCGCGCTCTATTTGGACATGGAGTTACTTTCGGACGTGGTCCTTCGGAATTTTTTTACTGTATTGTTTTCTAGCACCTGATATCAGTAAGCCATTATTTAAGAAATAGATACATATGTGCTTTATTCAAATTTCATTATGGGACATTTTTAGGTTCCTTTTCATATTTTGTTGGTAGTTATATTATATCGGCTTTAACGATTTTCTATTCATTCAAAATCATCAAAGTTATTTTAAATTAGACACTTAGATCATATCAGGTGAATAGTTTAATCGCGATTGACGTGTTATTCATCATTATTGTTTGCCGTCGCTTTAAATTCAGAGTAGATGATTTCGTTTTTAATGAATCACAGTCCTGGTCCAACTAGTTTGAAGCCTTATTTTAGTTAACTCCAGTTCATTCTTTAAGAACTTTGATTGATTAAGCACTGTCAGACAATTCAAATGACTAGAATTGTTAAAGTCCATAATCTCACTAGCTTTAATTCAGGATATCCCATTCAATATAATCTACATGACTGCCTGTTCATCAGGTAGTCCTCACTCTGTAGGGCATTATTCTATTTATATGCACTTCACACATAGTGGCTACTTAGCTGTATTTATATTTATGCTGCTATAGTTTATCGAGCACATACGAATAGCGTCCAGTGTATGGAAAGTCGATTAAAAATGGCCAACTCTTCCTAGAACTGTACAATCAACTCGAAAACACCAGTCCAATTTATATGGTCACATATGTAGGATGCCTACACATATACTGGATCTCTTGAGAAAAGGTTGTCAGTAATAGGAAGCAATCAAAATAAAAGAAATTCATGAATCATTGAAATGAAAATCAAAATTTAAGGTTAAGTGTCATAGGGGTAGATTTACGGTTTCTGTCAGTGTTTTAACTCCGATTTTTGTCATCATCACTTCGTTTCGATTGCTATACGAAACCCAATCAGCCTACTGCATAGCGATGAAAACTGGAAAACTGGTCTTTTAATCATCTTGATCAAACCAAACATGTTTCTAGTGACTTTCCATCTAAATGCGAAATATTACTTCAGGATTAGTCTGCATCAGTGCCTAAACTAGTCATACAGAGATGGGCAGTTGAGAGTGTAAATCAATTCACTTATCTTGGAAGTCCCTCTAACCTTGATGCGTTGTTGTATATAACGAATTCAAAAAGCTTCCCCGACCAACTTACATCACTCATAGCGTAGATAAAATGTCTTTATGCTGTACAGCAGTTTTCTCCGTTTTACCCTCTGACTATGGAAGATATTAGTGGGTTATTAGTATTTGATCATAGATGCCTTCGAAGGATTGTTCACCTGTTTGAGTCAAAAGGTTGGATGTCGGGCAATGGGTAAAAATGTCAAATCGGTTGATAAGGTGATGAATCTTCGTTGATTGAAGTGGTCAAGATTGCGTACCTGGACGCACGATACTTGCTGGAGTAGAAGCAAGTTTGAAAAAGCTAGTGCCTAGACCAGGACGTGAATCTGGTCTATGAAAACACTATCTTACTGAACCTTATAGGGAGGTGCAAACTATCAGGTCGAGATCTGCCCGCTTATTGTAACCAATATTTGAAGACGCTTAGTGACATGAACCGAAGTTATAAAATTATTTTGTACCATTTATTCTTCCACTCATCGTTAGTCATATTTTCTATACCCAGTGTTTTTTCTGTCACTGATACTTTTAATTATACTACCTTGGTATTCATCTTGTTAATTTCGTCTCGTTGTAGTGATGTGATGTTGAAACTTGTACCGATAAACATTTGTGTCAGGTTTTACGATGCTTGTGACTAACAGGGGATTTGAAGTCTCGACCATGATTCATATTTATCATATGAGTACTAATAAAAGTGTCTGGTTACCAAAATCTTGTTAAGCACGTTCAGGTACGATAAGCATAACGTTAGTTGAGCACTATTGAGAAATGTTAAACTGTACCTGGATATTCAATTTCTGCAACATTTGCAAGAAACAGTTTGTTGTATTTGGTTTTCTTCATTTTATAGGTTTACGTACTGTATCAAACAGTGAAATTTTAAGAATGAATCAAAGTAAACTAGAATGACGCGCATTTGTTGTACATTTTGTGATATGTGCTTCGGAAAACCATCTCGACTCGAGGCACATCTGAGAATCCACACTGGAGAGGTAAAACATTTCAAGTTACTTTTAAATAACGGGACCATTACTTATTGATTCTTTTTCAAAATGTTTTTACACAGTTTCTAACATTTTTTTTTACCCTAAGTGATTGACGGCTGTTGAGATTATAGCTATGGCAATGCAGTTTAATAAAAAAATAGTTTGAAGCACTAAGCTTTGAGCTACATATTTTGTCTCTGATTAGAGGTACCACCTAGTTTAGTGATATGAAACCGGCTTTAAGTTTCGCCCAGGTTGGTTAGTTACTAACACTTTTTACAATCTTAAACAATCTAACTGATTTTCTTATTATATCCTGTGCTTATATATCTGTACTATCAGTTAACTAGGATTGTAATATATTTTATACATCATACATTGAGAGTTCGTCGGTAGATATTCCTGTCATATATGGTAAATTTTGTCTTAAGATCTGGTCTTTAAGCTAGATATTTATTTACATTTCGACTACTTTTAGGACTACCAAATCATCGACCCATAGTGAAAACTAGTTCTTGTCTCGCTCTGGACGAGTCCGCATTAATTCTCAGAAATGCTTAGTTCATAAAACCCTATTAAAAATGTACATGAAACTCTCCATAACAACACATGTATTCCATCCATTGAATGTACGGTCTGAGTCCATGGAATCTTTGTTTAATAAAACCCGGAGTACATCAGTTTTGGTCCCTTCAGTATATTCTTAATTTATTGAAATGCGTTTATCTCACCTCCATCATCAACATCCATAGAACTATTCAGAAGTTAGGCTCTTTAGCTTCCTCGCTTCAAGTTTTTCTAGAATGATCTTTTCTAACGGTGTTCCTAAATGCAGTTCACCGATGACCTTGTAGATAGTAAATTGGCAATTTAAGAGGGCTATGGACCTGACAAATTCCATATTCTCATCAACTGAAGAGCCTGGTGATCATCTGGACGTCGTTGTAGTCATCATGGCTCTTACGGAAACTTTTGGTCCACTTGAAACAAGTTGTTTTATTGATTGTTATCCCCGTAAACCTCTTGATATTTCATTGCTTTCCTGATAGTCCTTCCCGATTTCTACCATTTCAGATAAGTTCGCGTATTTAGTCAGCAAAGTGGTTACACTTACATATCTTAACACTTGTAAATTTTCATCTTTCTAATCTGATGCTAAGATATGTCAGGAATACTAGCTGACAGATTTATTAATCTGGCATTGTTGTGTAATTGGTTTGCTGAGCGATTGCCTCGTTTTATCAGTACATCTAGAGAAATTTACTGTGCTTTCGACTATTACTAAAAATTGCTGTTATTGAGTCTTATCTATGCAAAATGCCATTTAAATCTTAATTATCCCTCGATGTGTCTGTACGAGATTTCTAGGTGATATCGGCTTGTTTTCTTAATACCTTGGTAAACCTATGACTTGTTCTTAATGAATATGTTTTCGTGATATCCCAATGAGTAGAAAATTGTATTTCTGACGTTTCGCGACTTAATGTAAGCCACTTTTTTCAGAGTAAATAAAATGACTTGTTCGTTTAAATCTTCAACTGCTAACTTCTGGATAATAGGTCCAAATCTTACTCCTCGGAAGAATAATACCGCTTATTAATAATCTCGGTTTTCTCCACACAGTTTATGTAGCTCATCCTAGTGTACTTTCTCATGGTTGCTAATAATCAGTTTTTGTGAATTGGAGCTGTTTTAAAAAGAAATGTGTCTACCTTCATTTTTCTTAATTTATCTGGTAAAAAACAGGTAAATGTGCCCTAATTCTGCATTGAACAATAATCTAGGATTTATATAGTGTTAGTCGGCTCTCCCTCTCTAAATGCCCTCACATGGTCACGCGTATGCAGCCACTGCCAGGGTAGTCCTACTCACCGCCTTCTCGCAGCGGGGATGTTTACGAAATTGAGATGATGAAAAGCGAATGTCCGGCACTTTAACCGAGTTGGTGGATGTAGAGGATCCACCTAGGTGAGTTGGAAAACCCTAATTACAAATCAACGGTCCACATGGACTTCAGTATCCTGAAGAAACAAATGGCGTATGAACCAATTATTGGTCATCGGCTACTATGGGATTGCATCTCCTGACGTTATTCCACTGCCTTATGGATCAGATCTTTAGGTCTAAAACTCCAAGTGTGGCCCCATAAGAAGACCACCTGCTTCAGTTTGGGAACCCGGGTAGTATCACAGCCTACACACAAATTAAGTGACTTGTGTGGTGCATATGTATTCGGTGCCCTTTTGTACCAATATTTGTGTTCAAATAAATAAATAAGTTAATATCACTTTGCATATGCTAGGGATTTTTTCGATTTTATGTCTAACCAAGTTTAATTTGTATGTTAGGCAGTTCGATTACAATAAATTAAACTCCCTGTTGGTAAAAATCAAATAATATTTTCCGAGCTTTGTGACGAATCGCACAGTGTCAATCAATAACAATAATTCCACCAGTTTTTCTTATGCTGAATGTCTGTTTATTTTTCAAAATAACTAGTCTAGTTGGCTTCCGAAATAGGAAAGTAATTAATACTGTTTAAACTGCATTTTCGTGCCCACTCATGATCATACTACAGGTCATTTATAACTTTATGAGTAGTTGATGGTTAAACTGTTCAACCTTTATCCATTTGGTCGTGTTTTACCTATTTCTGTTTGGACATTCGTGTTGTATAATAAAAAATAATAAATACATGTCGCGTTACGGCGACGAAATTCTTAATATACATCGGTGTGTGTGTTGGCGAACCCTTTGAAATGACTCAGTTCAAGTCATGTTCAGCATAGCATTCGTGAAGTTAACAAATCCATCTTTTCTCATTGTTCACTCCACTGCTAGCGTCCATATGTGTGTATTTGTGGTAAAACATATACACGGAAACAACATTTAACTCGTCACGCTTCAAAATGTCCCGAAATTATTCCAGAAAACAACTTATCTAATCAGAAGGAGCCAGTAAGAGTCGAAAAAACCTATTCGTGTTCACAATGTTCTGCTGGACCTTTTCAAAAAAAGAAAATGGTATCGGCTCATATGGCTATAGTTCATGGGTAGGTGCTACCTTTTTTGTTTTGTTACTACTATTTGTAAAAAGTTCATCTTACGGTTATGTATGACCCTTATTCTTTTCTTATTTAAATGGTCTTCAACCACTGGATCAAAAATTAGTTTTCATTACCTACGTTAGTTTCAGGGGCTACATAGAAGTACCGATTGAATGAACTAAAGTGTCATGATTCATTCCTTCATGCACAATTCAGTAGTCGGTTGCTAACAGTGTATTAACTTAGTTCGTTCCGTTTTATGTTTGTATATAATCGTGGTGAGACTGTATTGAACTATTTAATATCCATGAGTACAATTAATACTATTTCGTTCGCAGAAAACGAGTGTAACCGTATGATTCGCTGCTTTTCCTTCTCACTTGTATGCCTGTAGTGGATTATCTTCGGTATAATTTCTATTACTCATCCTGTTAACCGTTATTAGATAACTCTCATCGGTGTATAAGTTTCAAGAGACAATACGAGGGCTTGAATACAATCCATTGATGTTCAATGCAGATCACAAGAGAATGAGTCGTTGAACGATTTAACGTCATGAGAGGGATATGCATACAGGCTGTAAAATGTGATCAAGCATTGATGTTCATACAGACATGATTGTAATTTTAAAAAGGTATAAATAAATTATTTCTGTTGGGACGACACTCAAACCTGTTAATTGAAGGGCTTAACAAAATTGAACGTCTACGGACTGAAGTGTAGATAAGGTGCTATATTCTATCGGGCAGTCTTAGGCGCACTCCTTTTATCAGAGAAACTTTTCTGGAAAAAATGTATTCAGTTGGTCCTAAAATATCTGTAAAAATGTACCACTGAGTCTGTGCGGTTATATTTTTCTGTATAACATATTTTCAGTAAACACTAGATCAAATGTTTAAGCTAAAGACTGCAGTATTTTTCTCCAATGGAGGCGTTCTTATAGTAGCTATTGTAAACTTTTAACTAATAACGTTAATAATAAATCTATTTTCTATTATATTCATGTGAGTAGATATAACCGAATTCGGTTAGTTATCTACTCTAGAAAAGTGGCTAACATTAAGTCACGAAAAGCCAAAAGTACAATTTTTCTATCCATCGGGATATAACAAAAACATTGGTAACAGTTCAGTTAATACAAATACAAGTAGAAAGGATTCCTTCAGTTCTAGAAGTTCCCATCACTTCTAGGAAGGAAGTTACAGAAGTGCCGCAACTGGACTCTATTCTTAGTCATGTCTGGTAACATGTCAAACCAATGTGTTGCACTCTCTCTAGTATTCCGACTAGGGATTTAGCGGGGCCCAATATTTTGTCGTCACTTAGATCGGACGATGTTTGTCGATGGGCTCCCCACTTTAGTGGCCCGAGATCTGATTCCAATTAGATCGTATGAATTATTGTTATTGAATGATTGCTGTTGAAATGTATATGTTGCCTATCCTCGTATATAATCATCGACTTAAATCGCGCTAGTCAATAAAGAAATGGTGGTCTAGCTTCAATTGACTCATGATTTCAACCAGTGGAATTAAACAAGTCAAATAACGAGAATGAACTCTTGAATACATATATTTTGTATATGAAGCGAATGAAATGGAACGAAGCAAAACGACGCGCATTGAAGATGGCTGGTAAGCCAACTCCATTTAGTCAAGCGTTAATCAATATTTATAGTTACACAAAAATAGGCTACAGACATGTGGTGAATAGGATACGAAGTGTACACACACATGCGCTCATATAAAAAGTCATAATTGGTAAGCGAATAAATAACAACGTCAAAATATGACTCAAGTAGAATGAGTAGATTGACCTGTCTGAAAGCTAGAGTAAGGTATATGGGCTTGACACAATAACCCACACTACAGGGAGTCGTGAGTTCGACAGATCCCAGTCCTGTACTGCTATCTTCCATATCACGACATCATATCATAAAATGGCCACCTCTCCTTTTTACAACGTGTCCTAGTGCCTGTAATTAATTGACGATGTAGGATTCTCTGGGGTGTCATGGGGAGTGTCTCTGGTGTCACCTCATCATAAATGCTCATTTCGATTTGCGATTCTTTTAAATGTCGTTTGATGAATTCCGTTGTAAGCTCCCAAATTATCGTGCAAATTAGATCGGTATCGTTGATTAGTAGAGTGGCTGTGAACCTAGTTGAAGCTTTTCAAACTCCATCTTAGAAAGTTGACGGAATTGTTGTAGTTTAACGGTCACTATTATATGTCCAACTTCAATAGAACTGAGCTGTCGTCTAAAAGAATAGGTGTTCAGGCCGAAAGTAATTGGGTCTGTTTAACGCATCCTAACCGTTGTAGTTGATATACACACTTATAAGAGAATCAACTGATTTGTGATACTGTGAATCATCTTATCCAGGAAGTGGGAAACTTAATATGAAGTTTCTTAATAAAACTATATATATCATTTATTTTACATTAATACATTATTCAAGCGAACGGAAGCATGTATGTGACAAATGTGATCGAGCGTTTCCTACGGCATCTAAGCTTAGACGTCATTCATCAAAACATCATGGTTACACATGTAAGCTGTGCTTTGAACAACTATCTGAAAACCCTGAAAACGAAGAATCAGTTGCTCTCAAACCCATTCATTTTGAAAGTTTTGCGTGTTTAAGACGCCATATTGCTGAAGCTCACCCCAAAACACGTAAGTTACTTGAACCTTTGTGCGTTTATTTACTTCACGAGGTTTTGTTGCTTATTAGTTTGATATAATATATTTATGTTTTCTCAAAACACTAGTGTTAATATCATAGTTTACTTCCACTTAGCTACTCTTATATATTTTTCTTCTTGTTCAACTGTTTTGATGTTGCTTTCTCTCTAAGGTTGTGTTATAATTTCTCTTATTACAACCCAGCTATTCCTATTGCTTAGTATTCTCAGACACCAATTCACTCAACAAGTCTCCAAGTCAGAACACGATTGAACAGGAATGAAATTATATTCCAAATAACGAGGGTAGATGGAAGTAGGAATGGTAAGAAGAAAAACGTCAGTATATTTATAATTTTTACACGAGAAGATTCTAGGGTCTTCTTCAAGTCTCCGCTATCAGTGAAGGGCTAGGAAATAGCCAATCAGTGTGTCCGATCACAATCTTGCACGAAACATCCTTTAATCCAATCTATAGCCTGCCAACAAAGGTCATGTAAAAACCACATATGAAGTGGTTACTTACCTCATGGCACCAAAGTTTCTTGCATAGTCCGAACTTCCCTCCTTTTGATTGTTGTTTTCGAAGTGTCTTTGAGTATTATTTGCTTGATGTCTCTGTATCTGCCCACTACGTAGAATCTCTTCAGTCGTGTAGATCTCAGTACAGTTTGTTAGCTATTAGTAACTGTGATAAAATGGGCAGTGAATACGGTTGTCTCTCCCTAATAGTTTGTATGTTACTGAGCGCTGGGAACATAAATGACAACATCTGAAATATAGTTAAGAAGAATTATTTTTTAACGAAAAAATCATTTATGTCCATTTTTAATCAACTAAGTATTTACCATTTTTGAGGAAATTACAAGGTCACTTGAGATTGGCGAACAGAACGAAGGATCAGTTACACAATAACAAGACAGCTAAAATATTCCAATGCCTCTCAGCCCCTCTAACTAGAGAGAGAAGCCAAAAGCACGAACAGCAAGCACACAACTCAAGCGTACACATACAGCATATAAATGTCCTTGGCAAACGTTATAAAGTAGCTTATTAAAAGAGCAACCAACTAATGACATTTAAGGTCCAGTCAAGTGGGAAATGTAAGATGGAGGTAAAAATGGGCGCTTTTGGCGCGAAAACGAGAAATTCAAATCTTCAAAATAAAATTACAAAACTACAAAATCAACCGAGTCATTTCTGGGGATCTAGCATCTCCAACAGCATTGAAGTAAGAAAAACGTGTTTGAATGATTGCATCAATAATTTAATGAACTATCTAGTGGGATTATTAAAAGATTGTTAGTATAAAGCAATCTAATCAGTCCGTAGCGTAAAATTTGGGAAAAAGAACAAGTGCTACTGTCAAACTGGAATAAAGAATACCTCACCAAGATGCGAAATAAAGATCTGAGCGAATATGAGAACTCAGCTACAGTGACATCACACTAATTTTAGTACCAGGAAAAGTTTTCAACAGAGTGTTGCTGAACCGCATGAAAGATTCATTAGACTCTCAACTTCTAGATCAACAGGCTGGATTCCATAGGGATCGGTCATACACAGACCAAATCGCGACACTACGGATAATCGTTGAGCAGTCCATTGAACGGAACTCGTCACCATACATCAACTTCCTTAACTATGAGGCGTTTGACAGTGTGAATAGGAGATTCTTATGTAACCTTCTTTGACACTATGGTGTGAGTAGCTGGGAATATCGTTAACATCATCTGGGATTCATACGACGGACTACAGTGCAAAGTGGTGCATAAATTACAGCTGATACGCATTCCAAGTGATGACCGATGTCACACAAGGCTGCTTGCTCTCACCTTTCTCTTCTGGTTATTGACTAGATTATGAAGATCTCCACATCTGTGGGGAAGAACGGATTACTATAAACAGCTTGGATGTAACTAGATGATTTGGACTTCACAGTCGATCTTTCCCTTCTATCCCATACACACGAAGAAATGCAGATGAAGACAACTAGTGTAGCAGCAACCTCTGAATCAGTAGGCCTCAACGTACACAAAGGAAAAAGCAAGATCCTCAAATACAACACGGACAACACCAACCCAATCACACTTGATGGAGAAACTCTGGAAGATGTGGGAACTTTCACGTACCTGGGAAGTATCATCGATGAACGTGGAGGATCCGATGTAGATTTGAAGGCGAGGATTGGCAAAGCAAAGGCTGCATTCCCACAATTGAAGAACATATGGAACTGAAAACAACTGTCTCCAAGCCACCATCAAGATCAGAATCTTCAACGTGGACGTCAAGACAGATTCACTGTACGGACCTGAATTGTGGAGAACTGCCACAACCATGTTGGAAATATACAAGTATTTCTAAACAATTGTCTACACAAGATGCTGAATGTCCGTTGACCGGATACCATAAGCAACAGCCTATTGCGGGAGAGAACAAATCAGCTTCGAGTGGAAGAGGAAATTAGGAAGAGAAGTTGGAAGTGGATAGGACATACATTGCGGATTCTACTTTTTTTCAACTCACTTTAAAATTAACAAAAATAAGGAGAAATCATGTACTGTAGATAATGGATGTCGTACATATATCACATTTAATTACAGTATGATTTGGCGCTTGATCGTATGCCAACTAATGTCAACTTTGAAAATGGAACAGGTTTATTTCAGAAATGATAGCTTACCGAAAGAATGCCGACACTTTTTCTAGTGCGACATTTTTACATAGTTGATTATTTGTATTCATCTCACATCGCAGTTTACCTTACTTTTCCGTTACATAATCTCCTCTTTTTTAAAAATGCAATTTACCTAATCATTAAACACTGGTGTTGGAATTTTAGTTAACTGCACTTAATTAGGATTCTTGAAGAAATTTATTTGAGGAGTCCCACAATAGAACGAAACGGCCTTCCAGCGCTTCCAGGTTTCCAACGGCGGTCTAACATGAATCAAAAACTTAATAATCTCCACAACCCCTATACTGATATATAAATGTAATTCATTTGTTAAGTGTAGATTTATGTAGTTTGATTTGAACCATCCTACATGTTTAGGGTCTACTGACACTTTTTTTCTGGTTAGCGTTTGTTTAGCAAGGTTGTTTTCTACTGTATGGGGTTGGTGACTCCATACCCAACTCTCCTCCTTTGTATAGGCTTGTTACCGGCAGTAACCCTAGAATAGCTATAGACAGACTTAAATTTTCTAAATTGATTTTTATGCTGATATTACTACCCACCGATCCAAATTTAAGTAGGTACAGTGGCACTCAAGCCTTGAACTTACTGGTTGAAAGCTGATTACTTTAGTCATCAAAATTAGCAAAACATGTAAATTAAGGATTACTTCAGACGATTTAGACTGAAAATAATGAATTTATTAGTATGCACAATTAGCCGTTACTACTATCGTTACTTCAACTGTATCTGTTCTTATTACATGACCATTTTTTTCACAGCTTTGCAATGTCCTACTTGTAATATGCGTTTTACAAGACCTGCTGCACTAGCAGAACACAAATCTACACATACTCCTGGTGGACCGTCTGTAAGACGACGTTTTATTTGTCCTTTATGCTCACCTGATGTTACGGGTGATAAAGATAATTCCAACTCACAAGAAAAAGATTGTCTTGTTGCATTTACAGCCAAAAGAAATTTAGATGCTCATATGCGTTTAGTGCATGCTAACCTTAGGTTTCCATGTACATGGCGTGGATGTCCTGTTCTTTTGTCTACGAAAGTAAGTAGATATCTAGTATATTTTTTAGCAGTAACATGTGTTTGCCTATTAGCTTGATACATAGGAATATTTTAGTGACAAAATATATTGTCATACAAAATTATTATCTGTTAACGCCTATTACTAAATCATATGTTATTTCATCAACTGCTTGTCCTTTATTTTTATTTGTCTTGAGAACTGATTGGCTAGTGTGCTAAGATAGATACGTTCGGCGATAGGAATGTCAGTAAATATGTGATACATGACTTTCTGAAAAGAGCTCTTTTCAAAATGATAAAAGGAACTATGTGTATGACATAACTTTCTATTTGTATCTAACATCGTATTTTACTGCCCTGGATTTCATTGGGTGTTGTACTGATTTTCACTTTGCTAATAAGACACTGTTTGCCTCATGACTAGATCTCAATCGTCTGTTGGATACTTTTTGACTTGCAGCACCATTTGATCTAGTTTTTGATCTTGTGTATTTTTTTGATGATTCTATTAACTGTTATATAATCTACCAAGTCGTTCTGTTTGCTGTCAATTGCATGAATGCGAAATCCAGTTTATCGACGTTATAAAACATTTTATTTCTGAATTTTTCTGCAATATACCTTTAGTTTGTTCGCTTTATCAAGATTGAATAATACTGTATATGTTTCTACATATCTCAGAATATTTTTAAGTATTTACATTCCAAATTAACATCTATAGAAAATGAACATCAAGTCACCATGATTCAGCGAACATCATTTTTTAATGTTAAATGTTTGCAGCAACTGATCATCGTATGACTATAATTTAAAACTTGAAGACGTTTTTTGTCTGTCTAGTCTGAGTCAATATGCACTAAAATACGATTTTCATAAATCTAAGCATTGGGTGTTTTAGTCACCATTTCTCATAGCCTTCAGTTGCTACGTATACGACAGAATGTGATTCATGATTGTGTAAATTCTCATTATTCACTAGTTGACTAAGTATGATCCATATGTCCCTTTAGGACAACTGAGGTAATGTATACCTTCTTTTATTGACAGTTTTTTTTAGTAAGAATTAATACATTTAAGAACTTGCTTCATTTATTAGTGTTACACGGCTATAGTCAAGGATTTACGGACAGTCCTTCTGAACCATGTCAGTAGGTGCGAACGTCTTGTTTAGGCCACATGAGATTATTATGGTCAGTTGATTGAAGATACTACGTGTCATGACCCAAAATTGACAGCAGTAGCAAAAATGGATTCACACATTATGATTCCCTAAATTTTAAGTTTCTCTATTCTTATACACCTTATATTTCGTAAGTAAATATCTTGTAATCTCTGTACTTAGTCTTTCTTACCATTGTTCATACCAATATGACATCTAATCATTTACCATTCATCGCGTCAGTTTTATCTTGATGTGCTGGAAGAGTTTGGCAACTTGGATTAATGCAGGTCTACTCTAGTTCCTTCTTTGGGAATAACTATGAGAGAAAAATTGTTAGTTGAGATTCATCTTTACATCATCTTTACATATGTCTTTTATTGTTTATACAATTGGTCAATCAATCAATTGCTATAAATATGTCCAAAGACCTTTAATATGATCGGAGTCCTTTTACAATATTAGTATATGTATACTGAACACTCTGGTTTCAGATTAATAAAACTTTCAGAACGATTTAATCATTTTATTTATGCACTTTTTTGCATTTTCAGTGCCATACCAAGTAATGCTTATTTTGAATTATCAACTTGCATTCAAATCACACGGATCGTATTTTCTTTTCACTTTCATTAAGATCAGATGCTTGTCATTTATCTTTTCATACAGTAAATATGTCTGTCGCTTATGTTATTTTAAAACTCGAATCTACCCGTAACAGATGTATAGTGTAGGTGAATGTGGTTCGCAGTTGAATCAGAGATTCACGTCTCGTCCTAACTAGGATTCGTCAGCTGGATGTACTTACATCCTGGAGTGGACATCAACTCTGCAGTGCAGATACATCCGCCTGATGAATCTTATACACATAGTTCCCTTTATCATTTTGAAAAGAGAAAAATAACATGAATTCATTTTATTTCGTTGGTTCTCGTCAGCTGCTTACATCCTATGATATTTAAAATCATAATTACATAATGGGTTTAAATTACTTACATCATGAATCTCAAGTGGAACGAAGCAGGCGTCCTGGATTCAGCTGCCAGCCACATTCATCTATTCTACATAGACTTGTGTCACAATGGCTATATCAATGTATTCCGCACAATATGCACGTTTAACTACTAGGACTGATGAAATTTCAGTCAAGCTGTCGACAGTGGTACAGTCCAGAAGCGTTCTAAATCTAACATTTATATTTATTCGACTATATTACTTATGAGTAGCTGAAAATTTTAATCTCACTTTTCCTTTCTTGTTTTACATGAGAAGTCACTTTTGTCTATTTCATGAACATTGTAAATATTCAATTATCTTTATTTGACCATTTTACTCTTTATGAGTTCTTCCTCTTAATATTTAGCAAAAACTGAATGAACATATGGAACGTCATCGACTAGGCAAGTCAGTGGCTTTCAAAAACCGAAATAGACGTAATTCACGTAATGATTCAAATAGAAAATTTAATGATAATAAAAATTTATCAATGAATAATAATGAAGATTATTGGGAAACAGCTAGTCAAAATAGCATTATAGCACTGTTGAGTGATGTAATTGATTGTTCAGCTAATCAAATTTATTAATTTTTATGAAGTTAGTTTCATTATTGTATATAATATTATTTCGAACTGAATAGAACAAGAAGAAAGGAAAACAGCTATGTAATTAAGAATTTACAGAGTACTTATTTATTTTGTTTATATTTACATATATTTTCAAATTAACAAAGTGTATCAAATGATATGGAAAATAATAATAAACATTTATATTATACTACTTATTACAATCAATTTGTTACTTTTAGTAATTAGCTTATTAGTTGAAAGAAAACCTAATTGTCATATGCTCATTAGTGACTAACTTCGTGAAGGAATTCTCGGAGTTCTAGTAAGAAGCCATGACCAGTGGAACTAATCAGAGTCGGGTAGAGACAGATATCTACCTCGGTGCAATGGGAAATGGTCGCGCAATTTCGTGGATTGGTAGAGGTTTGACATTAACACTGTTGGATGTCGGCTCAGTGGTCTGGAGGTTGAGCGTTTGCGTGGGAGACTGAAGGCGTTGGGTCTGAATCCCGCGAACGGGATCGCAGGTGCGCACTGCTGAGGAGTCATAACGTAGGACGAAACTGTCGTCCAGTGCTTCCAGGTTTTCAACTGTGGTCTAACATCATTCGGTTCATGATCTCGATCAGTAATTGTTAAAAGATGGCCTATACAAATTCAATGTAAAACTAAACAGATCTTTGTGTGTATTCAAAACTTTTTTCATTTATTTATTTGAACACATGAATATTAGTACAAGGGTGCACTGATTGCATATGCGCCACATAATAACATTGAGGTTGTGGAGAAATAGAGAATGGAGGGTGAGTAACTATGAATATAAATTAGGCTGTTAGAGTGAAGTAACAATAATAAAGGCAGAAGCAGTTCAGTTAGGAAAAATACATCCACTTTTATGACGAAAATAAAAGTACAACAGAATTACTATTGCATTTTATTATGAACCATGTCCAATAACGTTGTGTCCAAGCCATTGCTTTTTCTCACATCGTCTTACGGTTCGTAAAACAATAAAACGATCTCATTTGTAAATTAAGCTGTGGTTTCAATATAAATTCATTTTACTCTCCAAAGCCACTAATAATTTATCTACCTCATCTACAAGTTCGATTATGATTATAACAAATACTACGACATTCAGTTAACATTTCTGTTACGCAACTCAAACTGAAGTTATGACAGTTAATCATGATGTTTTTCATAAGTTATAGGGTGGTCTTATGAAAATTTCAAGAAAATAGCACATAGTGAATAAAGATTATAATTGTTTGGAAGGACAAAATTTGATACAATATTTGAAACTGCATCTGACCAACCTTATTATATGGTTTTTAAACAATGAGAGCTTCTGAATAAACCACTCTGAAAACAGCTACTTTACAATATTATCAGAAGTAAATAGGAAGGAACCTACATAACATTAAAGTAGGACTGAGAATTGATGTGTGGCTAGTGAAGTGAAATTTGATTAGTTACTGAGAGTGAACAAACAAACACTTATCTTACTGACTATTATATATGTGACTTCCTTTCTTGTTATTGGTCCATAATTTGGACTCAGTGAGAGAGACTGCTTGTAATTGTGTGGTCTAAAGTATTGTCCAGTGTTTATTCTGGTTTTCTACTTTTTGTCATGAATCGGCCATCTGATGTAATATGATCTCGTACGTGTATCGTTCGAGTAACTAATCTTTCAGTAACCAGTCTTATCATAGAATAACAATATATTGTGGGAACAACCAAGTATAATAACTCTTTAGTTATATCAGGAACAATAACAGATTATAACAAATTAGCTCTCTCTAAAGGAGATAGATTATGTATAGAAGTAAGATCTTAAACCATTCACCCTTTATTTACACTCACCTACATCGTTTATTTTGTTGTAGTTCAGGAGGATTTCAGTTATCAATATTTAAGGGAATAAAAGTATTTATAAATTCAGTTAGGATAGCAAAGGATCAACATAGTTGTGCTGTTTTAAATAAATTCCTAGAGTGGGATGAATTGTTCCAATCTTGTTGATTACATTGATTACTCATGTGAGATTAAGGTATATTACTATAGAACTTAATATACGCCCAACATTCTATTTTGAAACGGTTGTGTAACTCCTAAGCAAATATAAGTATATATACAAATATGAATTTACGATGCAATGCTAACTGTATACGTGAGTGTTTCACAAAGTAGAATTATAGGAACATCTGAAGAAGAAGCAATTGGGAAAGTATTTCTAGGAAGAGTTTTCAAATCAAGTTCTAGAGAGAGAAGGAAGTAAAAGACCTATTCATTAAAACCTATATTCATTCACTATAGAGAAAGCCGTTTGAGTTAGTAAATCTGGTCGATTTTTGTGAAACAAATTGTTTAGTAATAAAAGTGAAAATTGATAAACAGAAACATTTCTCGTTTGCTTATTCTTGTTATAGCCCGAAGGCCCCAATCAGAAGCAGCTAATTATCGATCGGACCAAGGACGCGTAAAACACGTGCGGGCAGCCTAGAGTCCTAATTGGTCCTGCTTTCCGCCTAGCCCAGCCAGTTAAATCCAGAACACCAGTCTGAGCCTCTGTGATATGAATCATTATATTTCAAACATACTGAGTTTATATACCAATCAAACAGACCACAACGCACCAATAAAATATGAACAGCATTTGTACAAGAATTATCCAGATGTGACTATGAATGAGGGAGGCAGTGACTAATAAACTGGGCATAACTCAAGAATGGAAAATCGTATAATAACAGTTCGTAGGTTAAAATAAAGCTTATGATAAGAGAGACATGAATATGAATAGTTTAGTTAATTGACAATTATACGATAAAAATATATGCACAGTATTGATCCATCAATAGATCCCAAAAGTTACCATTCATTATTCTTGTCGAGACATAACAATTCTTAAATAAATTCATACATGTAATCATCTTCATTTCATCAAAACATACGTTTGAAAGGAATTTTAAACGATCATCTTGTTTACTTGATATTGTTTTATTTGAATCTTCCCATTGATGTTTTAGGACTGCAGTTGATCAGCCTCTTATTGGCATATGTGCATACTGTGCGTATGCCTCGATATTGCCTTAATTTACAAGCATTATAAGCAGAGATGGATAATGGCTAGCAGTGGAATCCATATGCCAGTAAGAGGCTGATCAACTTCAGTCCTAAAACATCAATGGGAAGATTCAAATAAAACAATATCAAGTAAATTAAACTTCACCCCATTGCACAAGCAAGTGGCTATCAGGACTCAGTAGCTAAGTGGATAACGCGATGGCGTTTGAAGCGAACGGTACTGAGTTCGAGTCCCAGAGTGAACATCAACTCTGAGATGCAGGTACATCCAGCTGACGAGTTCCAAACAGGATGAAACGCGCGTCCTGGATTCCACTGCTAGCCATTATCCAACTCAGCTTATAATGATCATCTTGTTGTTTTAATAACATTTTTCAGTGTTATTTTATTGCTTGTAACTTATTTACAATATCTAACTTTAAGTGATCGGTTGAGCATGTTTATCTTAATTCTTACTATCTGATTATTTTCAAAGTTACATATATATTTTCATTTCTTTAGCCTTAAATAATTATTCACAATAACTCATTGATTTTTAAGACAAAAAATCCCGCTTTCGTTTCGCCCCCTGTTTTTTTCTTATTCTTTCGTAATCGTTTATAATGACCAACTCAGTGACCAATCATTGTACTGTAGTGTTCCGTCGAGTCGTTGTTGATTATGATCATCACTACAAGAAGGTTGCGTATCAGATATCAGAAGGTGATTGGAGGTTGTAGCGAGATATATTTGTTGGCGATCTCGTGGTATTGAAAGAATACCATGATCGTGCCAAAGGAGTACAAGCGGAATCACTGAGCAAATGTAAGTGCGTGCAAGGTCACAATCGACGGAAGGAAGAATGTCTTTAGTACAGTTAAACAAAGAAGTACAGTAAAATAATCACTGGTACAATTGGTTATAATAATAATTGTTTCCAATAAACCAGTCGCGTTCTCTTGATAAAAGTAGGTCACTACAGTATCCTGCCAATGATTTTCATAGATGACAGAATATATATAAATACTATCCATTAGGTACGTTATCATTTAATTGGTAATGATTAGTGAAAATTTACTGGTGAAAGTTAGACATGTCGGAAGTAATTCAGTTGCATTGGATGATTGCCTTACTATATCGTAAATTGATTTGAGTTGAAACTTTACTATTGGGTACCGAACTAGCAGTTTTGTTGATTAGGCGTTCACGTCTAAGCCTTAGGAGTTTTGTGTTCGAGACCTAGTAAGATCAAGTGAATGGACTGTTGAGAAGTTAGTATGTTATAGAATGATTGCATTTTTATCTTGACTTTATGTACATTTTAACTGAATAACCTTCAACAAGTTAATTGGTCAATGATATAAGAAACCGAAAAAAAATATGTTAGAAATAAATTCACTTGATGTTGTTTTACTTGTATCATCCAATTGTTATTTAGGAATGCAATTGATCAGTCTCATGTTGGCATATGTCCATCCTGTGCGGATTGCGAATGTAACGTGCGTTCTGCATTTCACTACTGGTCACTACTCAATTTCGCTTAAAAATATCGAAGCAATTCGCGCAGGATGAACATGTACCAACAAGAGATTGATTAGTTGCAATCCTAAACAAAATGGGAAGGTACAAGTAAAACAACACCAAGTGAATTTAAACTTCACCCTAATACTCAAGTAGGTGGCTAACAGGACTTAGTAGCTAAGTAGATAACGCGATGTTGTTTGAAGTGAATGGTATTGCGTTCGAGTCCCGGAGTGATTATTAACTCCGGCTGACGAGTCCCGAATAGGACGAAACGCGAGTCCAACTGGATTCCACTGCTAGCCACTATCCGTCTTTGCTTAAAAAACTTATGTTAGAAATAGTTTATTTCCAAAGTTAAATTCAAATGATACGAACAGTAAACACAACAGTTAGTGTAATTATATATATATATAAGAGAATCAATCATCAAGCGTTCTAAGTAAAACAGTGTTTCAGTGGATCAGATAAATAAGAGTGTAGCTTGAAATAATTGCCTTTGATTATACAAATACTTTTCTACGGTCGTTATCCCTTAAACTATGAGATTAAAATCGCTTCATATCTTTCTTTGTACGATCTAATTCTTTCTTCCTATACTTTATCCTTACATGCAATCTTTCTTTTATAT